GGATTTCACTGCATCCAATGGGTACGGATTCAGCTTTAGAACAAAGTTCTAGAGTATTAGTAAAAATGTGATTGATACATGTGGATGATCTTGTTCCTGCAGTGTTTATAAATACCCTGGTAGGTGGAGTAATAACCTGAACCAGATTACAGGCACTGGTTACAGTGAGAAGCTTCCTCTTGAGTGGACAGCTTGATGAAAACCAGTCAATATTCATGTTCTTGGTCACCTCCCTGACCAAGGCCCTTCTCCCCCGATTGCTCAGTTTTGCCAGGCTGACAGTTCTAGGGAGAGTCTTGGTGGTTCCAAACTTCTTCAATTTTAGAATGTGTTCTTGGGGACCTTCGATGCTGCAGAAATGTTTTGGTACCCTTCCCCAGATCTGTGCCTCGACACAATCCTGTCTCTGAGCTCTACGGCCAATTCCTTCGACCTCATGGCTTGGTTTTTGCTCTGACATATACTGTCAACTGTGGGACCTTTATATAGACAGGCCTTCCCAAATAATTTCCAATCAATTGAATTTACCACAGGTAAAATTTATTGACCCATGCTTAACCCATGTCTTAACATATGCCCTCAGTAGCAATGAAATGTAAGCATTTTAAATACTGTAAAGTTGTTTTCTACAAACAAATGTCCGTTATTATAATTTCTAATGCAGCGCAGACACGTCTTCAGTGTTCTGTACTCTGGTAGACACTCTCTCAGACACATTACAGTATGCAGGGGTGGACAGGCCATCTGGCATGTCTGGCAAATGCCATATGGGCTGTTCCATTTTTAGCCCAGTGGGCCTGTCTAACTTATTTTATTTTTGTTGCAAAAATTATAATTATTTGGCAATAATGGGGGCCTCAAGGAAAAAAAATTGGCAGGTGTCGGGGCCTCAAGGAAAAAAATTGGCCGATGTGTTAGAAATTCCAGGGCCGATTTCCGAATTATGTCATGCAATAAAATGCAAATTAATTACTTAAAAATCATACAATGTGATTTTCTGGATTTTTGTTTTAGATTCCGTCTCTCACAGTTGAAGTGTACCTATGATAAAAATTACAGACCTCTACATGCTTTGTAAGTAGGAAAACCTGCAAAAATCGGCAGTGTATCAAATACTTGTTCTCCCCACTGTACATACTATACATACATACATACTACAGTAGAAACGACAACACGATATACAGAAAATAAGGCACGTACTTTGATATGAACACAAACATGTCCAAAGGTATTATTTGTAAGGAAAACAACAATGCAATAATGCAAGCGCCAGCCAGAAAATGTGCCATTTCTTGGAAGACCGCGCAAATGTCTGCATACTTGATGTGCTGAAAAAATGGGGAAGGGCTTTCCTCAAAGATGGAAGTTTGTCCGGCTCAGTAAAGCCTCAAACATAAATTGTCCACAACACTGAAATTGGCTATTAATGAGGAGGCGGAACACACTTAAATTCAAACTGTTGTTAGAAAATACAACTTGTTAGAAAATAATTTGAAATTGACAAGTTGAAACATAGTGTTAACTGTCCTATTGCATAACAATCACATTTTGGAACAATGAGTGCATTCTGACATCACGTGCATAAAACAACTCACGGTGGGGCGACCGTTAGAGACATTTGGAACTCACATGTGAAAAGGTTCCTATTCCCTCTGTAGTAATGAAATGTAAGCATTTTTAATACTGTAAAGGTGTTTTCTACAAACAAATGTCTGTTATTATAATGTCTAATGCAGCGCAGACATGTCTTCAGAGGAGTTCATTACAAAAGGGTCAGTCTAACTCCCTGCAATATATAAACACATACTGTATCTGCCGTACTGTAACTGCCGTTCTGCTGCCAACAAAGCTGACTTCATCCCCGCCTATGCTAACCTCCAGTCCCTCGACTTCCTGGCGCTGACGGAAACATGGATTACCACTGAAAACACTGCTACTCCTACTGCTCTCTCCTCGTCTGACCATGTGTTCTCGCATACCCCGAGAACATCTGGTCAGAGAGGTGGTGGCACAGGAATCCTCATCTCTCCCAAGTGGACATTCTCAATTTTTCCCCTAACCCACCTGTCTATCTCCTCATTTGAATTCCATGCTGTCACAGTCACTAGCCCATTTAAGCTTAATATCCTTGTCATCTATCGCCCTCCAGGTTCCCTTGGAGAGTTCATCAATGAGCTTGACGCCTTGATAAGTTCCTTTCCTGAGGATGGCTCACCCCTCACAGTTTTGGGGGATTTCAACCTCCCTATGTCCACATTTGACTCATTTCTCTCTGCCTCCTTCTTTCCACTCCTCTCCTCTTTTGACCTCACCCTCTCACCGTCCCCCCCTACTCACAAGGCAGGCAATACGCTTGACCTCATCTTTACTAGATGCTGCTCTTCTACTAATCTCACTGCAACTCCCCTCCATGTCTCCGACCACTACTTTGTTTCCTTTTCTCTCTCGCTCTCCTCCAACACTACTCACTCTGCCCCTACACAGATGGTAATGCGCCGCCGCAACCTTCGCTCTCTCTCTCCCACTACTCTCTCCTCTTCCATCCTATCATCTCTTCCCTCTGCTCAATCCTTCTCCCTCCAATCTCCTGATTCTGCCTCCTCAACCCTCCTCTCCTCCCTTTCTGCATCCTTTGACTCTCTGTGTCCCCTATCCTCCCGGCCGGCTCGGTCCTCCCCTCCAGCTCCGTGGCTTGATGACTCATTGCGAGCTCACAGAACAGAGCTCCGGGCAGCGGAGCGGAAATGGAAGAAAACTAAACTCCCTGCCGACCTGGCATCTTTTCACTCCCTCCTCTCTACATTTTCTTCATCTGTTTCTGCTGCTAAGGCCACTTTCTACCACTCTAAATTCCAAGCATCTGCCTCTAACCCTAGGAAGCTCTTTGCCACATTTTCCTCCCTCCTGAATCCCCCCCCCCCTCCTCTCTCTCTGTGGATGACTTCGTCAACCACTTTGAAAAGAAGGTTGACGACATCCGATCCTCGTCTGTTAAGTCTAATGACACTGCTGGTCCTACTCACACTGCCCTACCCTATGCTTTGACTTCTTTCTCCCCTCTCTCTCCAGATAAAATCCTGCGACTTGTGACTGCAGGCCGCCCAACAACCTGCCCGCTTGACCCCATCCCCTGCTCTCTTCTCCAGACCATCTCCGGTGACCTTCTCCCCTACCTCACCTCGCTGATCAACTCATCCTTGACCGCTGGCCATGTCCCTTCCGTCTTCAAGAGAGCGAGAGTTGCTCCCCTTCTCAAAAAACCAACACTCGATCCCACTGATGTCAACAACTACAGACCAGTATCCCTTCTTTCTTTTCTTTCCAAAACTATTGAGCGTGCCGTCTTCAGCCAACTCTCTTGCTATCTCTCTCAGAATGACCTTCTTGATCCAAACCAGTCAGGTTTCAGGACTGGTCATTCAACTGAGACTGCTCTTCTCTGTGTCACGGAGGCTCTCCGCACTGCTAAAGCTAACTCTCTCTCCTCTGCTCTTGTCCTTCTAGACCTGTCTGCTGCCTTTGATACTGTGAACCATCAGATCCTCCTCTCCACCCTCTCCGAGCTGGGCATCTCCGGCGCGGCTCACTCCTGGATTGCGTCCTACCTGACCGGTCGCTCCTACCAAGTGGCGTGGCGAGAAGCTGTCTCCGCACCACGTGCTCTCACCACTGGTGTCCCCCAGGGCTCAGTTCTAGGCCCTCTCCTTTTCTCCCTATACACCAAGTCACTTGGCTCTGTCATATCCTCACATGGCCTCTCCTATCATTGCTACGCTGACGATACACAACTAATCTTCTCCTTTCCCCCTTCTGATAACCAGGTGGCGAATCGCATCTCTGCATGTCTGGCAGACATATCAGTATGGATGACGGATCACCACCTCAAGCTGAACCCTGGCAAGACGGAGCTGCTCTTCCTCCCGGGGAAGGACTGCCCGTTCCATGATCTCGCCATCACGGTTGACAACTCCGTTGTGTCCTCCTCCCAGAGTGCGAAGAGCCTTGGCGTGACCCTGGACAACACCCTGTCGTTCTCCGCTAACATCAAGGCGGTGACCCGCTCCTGCAGGTTCATGCTCTACAACATTCGGAGAGTACGACCCTGCCTTACACAGGAAGCGGCACAGGTCCTAATCCAGGCACTTGTCATCTCCCGTCTGGATTACTGCAACTCGCTGTTGGCTGGCCTCCCTGCCTGTGCCATTAAACCCCTACAACTCATCCAGAATGCCGCAGCCCGTCTGGTGTTCAACCTTCCCAAGTTCTCTCACGTCACCCCCCTCCTCCGCACACTCCACTGGCTTCCAGTTGAAGCTCGCATCCGTTACAAGACCATGGTGCTTGCCTATGGAGCAGTGAGGGGAACGGCACCTCTGTACCTTCGGGCTCTGATCAGTCCCTACACCCAAACGAGGGCATTGCGTTCATCCACCTCTGGCCTGCTGGCTCCCCTTCCTCTGCGGAAGCATAGTTCCCGCTCAGCCCAGTCAAAACTGTTCGCTGCTCTGGCACCCCAATGGTGGAACAAGCTCCCTCACGACGCCAGGACAGCGGAGTCACTCACCACCTTCCGGAGACATTTGAAACCCCACCTCTTTAAGGAATACCTGGGATTGGATAAAGTAATCCTTCCCCCAAAAAAATTTGTAAAGTGGTTATCCCACTGGCTATAGGGTGAACGCACCAATTTGTGAGTCGCGTCTGCTAAATGACGTAAATGTGCCCTTGAGCAAGGCACTTAACCCTAATTGCTCCTGTAAGTCGCTCTGGATAAGAGCGTCTGCTAAATGACTAAAATGTAAATGTAAAATGTATCTAGTATTAGAATTCTTGCCTTTTGCTGCTTTACTATTTTTCCACATATGCTTCTCCTCTCCTCTCCTCTCCTCTCCTCTCCTCTCCTCTCCTCTCCTCTCCTCTCCTCTCCTCTCCTCTCCTCTCCTCTCCTCTCCTCTCCTCTCCTCTCCTCTCCTCTCCTCTCCTCTCCTCTCCTCCTGTCATCACATATTACTAATGGTCTGTTCTGTGGTAAGGGAACATCTCCTTGGTCCTCCCCCGGCTCTGGGCAGTTTCTTCAGTAGTGACTCGCGGAATTTAGTGCACATCAAGAAGTAGATGACTGGGTCCAGGCACACGTTGAGCGCCGACAGGAAGAGGGTGACCTCCTTCGCCTGGAACAGCATATAACGGCTGTGCCAGCTGAAGCCGGAGCCGGGTAACTGGCTTTGGGTGTAGGTGACGCGGCAGATGTGGTAGGGCACGAAACAGATGAAGAACACGGCCAGGAGGCTGAAGATGCTGCAGTTGGACTTGCTGTACACCCTGCTGTCGTCCTGGCGCACGCGGCGGTGCGACTTGTAGAAGTGGCGGGCGATGGAAGAGTAGCAGAAGGCTAGCACCAGTACGGTGACCCAGAACAGGGCCACGTTGAAATACGAGGACACCTTGTGCCACTGCTGACCCAGGGGGGTCTTTAGCTGCACACAGTGCCTGGAGCTCTCCTCATCCGCAGGCTTGCTGGTGAGCACGACATTGGGGAGTACAGAGAGTAGCAGCAGACTCCACGTCAGCAGGGCCAGGACCCGGGTGAACCCCACTCGCTGCAGGAGGTGCGTGCAGGACGATGAGTGTCCTACGACCTTGACGTAGCGCTCCAGGCTGATGAGGCCCATTAAGATGATGCCCACGTACATGGAGGAGTAGAAGAGCACGGCGCTGTAGCGGCAAACGGCCACGCGAACGTGCCAGCCGCCCAGGCCGAGCTCGCTGGCCACACGCCAGGGGAAGGTGAGCAGCATCAGCAGGTCAGCCACTACCATGTTTTTCAAGTAGACCACCATGCCTGAGTCGCTGGGCACCCGGAAGAAGATCCAGGCAGCCAAGCTGTTGAGAGCCAAGCCCACGCCACCGATCAGCACATAGAGAACTGGGAGCACCTGGTGGGGAGAAGCAGGATGAGAGTCTGGCTGGAGGATAAGAATAGAGAGGTGGTTGATGCATGAGAATAAGATAAAGCAAGCACATTTGTTGAAGAAGCTTATGCTTAGAAAAAAAAGTGTTTGAAAAGGGTTATTCAGCTGTCCCCATCGGAGAGCCCTTTTTGGTTCCATGTAGAACCCTTTTGGGTTCCATGTATAACATAGAACCAAAAAGGGTTCTACTTGGAACCAAAAAGGGTTCTACCTGGAAGGGTTATCCTATGGGGACAGCTAGATGGGTTCTCTAAGAGTGTATGCATGCCTATACAGTACAAACATTTAAGTGTACGTGTAGCTATCAGTCATTCATATCGTTTTCTTGCACGTAACGTTAGCTTTTTAAAGCAATAGCTGTTTTCTTTGAGCCCGAGCCTCATCGCAGATATGAGAAAAGGAAACAAAAAGAGATCAGACATCAGTTCAACATCTAGTTTTGATTTACATTTGGTTGAGTTTTCAACTAACGTGAATTCAACATGAAAACAACAAAAGATGTCACCATTTAGGTTAAAAGCTGGGTAAAAAAAAAGAGGAAATGCCCTTACGTTGATGACTTTTGCAAATCCAATCAGTTTCTACGTTGATTCACCTTCATCACATAGATTTTTGGTGTTTAAATTATGTGGAAACAATGTTAATTCAACCAGTTTTTGCCTAGTGGGAGGTAATCAACCACATACCCCTGCCCTGCCACTCCACATTTCACAACATTTAACATTTTCTATGTGAAAACTAAAAACTTTTGCCTTACATTAGATTAAGGCATCCACTTACCTGACAAATTTGTGCCATGACGATTAGCAAAGCCCACTTGTCAGTATAGACTGACATGTAAACCAAGATAATGTGGACTTGCGGTGGATAGGAGTGGGGGTGGGTAACAGCCTATAATGTCTTATAATGAGTCTTATAATATGTTATGTCCCAATGTTTCAACTTTTCATCTTATATTATAACTGGTATTATTGTTGGTGTTTAGTCAGGATCATTATGAGATTATTATGAGACAGCATATAATAATAGGCTTAGGGTGTTATCAAATATTTTCATTTTCAATATCTAAATAATTTCATTGCATTCTTGTGTGGTATGAACATAAAAGCACAGGTGCCTTATGTTATGACATCCTCAGTGCTGTACCTGGTGAGTGAACACGCTGCCGAAGTCTGTTGTCTGATTGGACGGGCCAGTGATCCAGTTGCCGGCCATGCCTGAGAGAGACAGTGTTTATTTCAACATACATACATAACGTATAGTCTCGTAAAATGCTGTCACTAGAATATGGTTACAGATGTGCCTCTTTAGTGCAGAGAAAGTCAATAGCCGTAAATATGGATGAACTGGTGGTCAAAGCAAATTTACAAATCATAGGTACAAAATGTTTACATTCTGTAGCATTTGTACAACTTGACCCAAGTATGAACTTATGAACTGCTGAATCCTACTCGTTTTTTGTGTTTGTTTTTTAAAATACATAAAACTTAGAACAATAGGCTTAGTAAGAATGATTCAGCCAAGTTATTCAGCCCACACAGAAGCCTCTTTTACACCCTGCACCAACATGTGTTTCGGGATCTGAACAATATGATCCAATCCATATAGATCCTATTAAATTACTAAAGGGGCTATGTCATAACCATCATAACCAAGTTCCAGAATGTGGTGAAAATGGCAGCCATATTGGTCAAGGAGAAATCCAAACCAGTCTAATTGGAATTAATGGCAGCAGAGGAATAAAATAGTCATATAATTATAAATACAGTTTATATGGGTTTTATACACATTTTCTGTATAAATAGCCTCTAAAATATATGTATACAGACCATAAATGTCTACATGTTTTATTTATTGGGAAGCGGGGAGTGCTATTATATGATACAATATCAGTACCGGTACTTGTTGCATTTACAACTTGTCTAAGTCCTATCATCAACTGATTTCAGCCAGTGTATGGCTGTGGATTGAATGCATTGTTTGAATGGAATGATGGCATATTGCCAGTTAATTTGAACAATTCATGGAATAATTCCTCTAAAGCTGTCTGGCTAGCTAGCTAGCTAGCTAACAAACATGTATTCTTTAAATGCATTAATGTACACAATATCTTATCACAGCACTGGCAAACCATGGTTGATCAACTCCCTGACCAAAATGGCTGACATTTATCACATCAGAAGGTTCATGTCCATTGTAGTATTCTAATTCCTAATTCTATGATCCAATCACTATCTGATCAAGGTTTGTCGCATCTACACATTGTATTAAAATGTGTGTCTTATCCGTTCAATGTGTCCACATTGTGACCAGATTGGCTGATGTCTCCCTGTATGCAAATTAATTAAGAATTCTTTATTTTAAGAAAATTACTGATGCCATAAGTCAATAGCGGTACCTGTCAATGATTTTAGATGCCGGTATAACGATGATTTAAATGGTTTGACCATCCAGATTAGTTTGCACTTGATTCATATCCAGACACAATGCGTGCCTGACAAGCTCCGGAGGTGGCTAGGAAGATCTGATCAAAATCAGATCACAATGTGTATTTTAATCGTCTACACCTGTCTAAAAATGTGGACACAAGCAGAATGAAGACAATATCAGGACAAAGGGGGCATGTTAGCACCAGGTATAAATGGGGCTATAGATGAGTAAAACTATGTGAAACAAAGATAAAACATTCTGCACAGTGTCTGTGTGTAATGTTAACGTACAAGGGAACAATCAACACATTCCTTTTTTGCATTTAGCTATGTATCAATTAGCACCTGCATACCTCTGTCATATATACATCAAAGTTATGTGGAATAGTACACATAGACATATCTCCACAAACTATTATCTACAGTAGCTTCTTCTATACAAATAGAAAGGCAGTTCCTATATAATTGTTTAAGTAGTCTGATACAGACTAACCTTCAGCAAGCAGGACAGAGATTCTCTGAGGGGAGAAGTGGTGGAGGTCTCTACCTCCTGGCTGTGTGATGAGGGGACACGGCTCCTGTCCTGTTGGATGGTAGAATATCTCTGTCTGTCTGTCTCTGGGTGGATCTCCCTCACTGCTGACAACACAGGATGCTACTCAGACCTTCCACTGATGTTCCAACAGCGGCCTTGTGTTCAACAGTCTCAAGGGTTACCTTTACAGTCAGACAAATACACACACTAAGTTTTCTCTGTGATGCTCAGGCTTTATTGTCCCCTGTCTCTCTCTCGCTCTCTCTTTCTCTCTCACTCCCCCCCTCTCTGTGCACGTGTCCTCCTCCCACACAGATCCTTCATGAGAATTGGAGGAAGTCAGCGGTGGTGGATTGGGGGGGGGGGGGGTATTGGGTTTCCGGTGCAGAGATTCTGTATGATTCTGTATTCCCATTTTCACATTTACATTTGAGTCATTTAGTGAAGTTTAGTGGGGGAAATCAATAACATACCACAATAACTGCAAGAGGACCTTTCTTAGAAATATCTTTCTTAGAAAATATCAGCAGAATCAGTACCAGGAAGAAAAAAAACAAGTGCTGGTGTGAGTGCAACAAAGATGTAAAATGTTTCTCTTCACATTCACTGCCTGACACTTTAACACTTCACCTACTAAGGAGAATGATGAACTAGTGTGGAGGTGAGTCAAGTCTCACCTGGGCTGGCGCCAGAACGAATCAGTTGGATGGGCATTTGATTTCCATAGGGGGGCACTTTTTATTTATTTATATGTATGAGTGTTATATTAAAGACCATAGGTGGCGCGTGAGTTTCAAGTTTGGGGAAGCTTACAATTTATCATACCATTTCTACCGATCTGCGTGCCAGTTATGATAATTTTTATATGCACATTTTTATGAAACAGTTTCATTTCAATAATAATGTTTTCGTGTCTCAAAATCATTGTCATGTGGTTAGTCATAGAAATCTGAATTAAAATGAAATCAATTGAAAAGTTAAATTCAACTAATGCGAGAGCACTAGCCTCTGCTCAGTTCGACCTCCCACACTCACAGCCAACCTCCCTTAGACGTTCTAATTGGAAAGCGATCTACTAACGATATACCTCTCTCAGGCCGACATCGGTGAGATGTATGTGTGCTATCTGGGTTTATGGAAACATTGATACGCCGTGATCCATTGGTGGCTAAAGACTTGAGCACATGGAACTCAGAGATAGCCTAGCCTAAAGGCCAGTGCAGCAGTAGGCCTATAACTTCCATCATCAACTAAATAAAATACATAGGCCTAAAGCCGACAAATAAAAACAGTAGAAAATATCCTGATGAAAGGGAAGGGTTAGCTAAAAGGGTTAAGGTTAGCGTTAGGGGAAAGGTTAGCTAACATGCTAAGTAGTTGCTAAGTAGTTGCAAAGTAGCTAGAAAGTAGTAAATAGTTTCAAAGTTGCTAATGAACTAGAATGCTAAAGTCCATGATGAGATTCGACCACACAACCTTTGGTTAGCATTATACACCTACCGTCTACACCAACCAACCACCCGCCCTACCTCCTTTCGTTTTTGCCTTACATAAGCTTCTATCTTATGTAACCATACCATACATAACATATCATCCCAATTTGAGTGTCCGGGATTTACATTTACTATGTTACGTATAGCCTATGAGACCAGTTTGTCCATGCGCACTAGATGGTGGGCCAAAGCCAAAAAACGTGAAGTTTGATCAATCCCCTTTGAGGGAGGAGCTGATTTTTTGTAATGACAGTAAAACATTTTTATGATGTCTATGAAATTTGTTGGCACCTTCAATTCTTGAACATTTTCTCATAAAAAGTATATTTCAACACTGTCTGCTCAGGCAAATTTGTGCACTGCTAAACATGGAACCAATCAGAACTCCTGTACATACCCCTCATTATGAAGGCAGCCAATGGCCTGCTTCTACCTATGATGTAAACACAGCCTCCTGTGAAAACGCGAGCTGCTGTCTGATGAAGAGGAACATATATGCAGTGCATTCGGAAAGTATTCAGACCCCTTTACTTTTTCCACATTTTGTTACGTTACAGCCCATTCAAAAATGCAATCGTTTTTTTCCCCTTCATCAATCTACACACAATACCCCATAATGACAAAGCAAAAACAGGTTTTTAGAAATGTTGGCATATTTATTTAAAAGAATATCACATTTACATACACTATAAATCAAAAGTTAGGACACACCTACTCATTCAAGGGTTTCTCTTTATTTTTACTATTTTTTTTACATTCTAGAATAATAGTGAAGACATCTCAACTATGAAATAACACATATGGAATCATGTAGTAACCAAAAAAGTGTTAAACAAATCAAAATATATTTTATATTTGAGACTCTTCAAATAGCCACCCTTTGCCTTGATGACAGCTTTGCACACTCTTGGCATGTTTTTCAGCAGCAGGGACTGGGAGACTAGTCAGGATCGAGGGAAAGATGAACAGAGCAAATTAGACTGAGATCCTTCATGAAAACCTGCTCCTGAGCGCTCAGGGCCGCAGACTGAGGTGAAAGTTCACCTTCCAACAGGACAACGACCCTAAACACACAGCCAAGACAACTCAGGAGTGGCTTCGGGACAAATCTCTGAATGTCCTTGAGCCCGGACTTGAACCCGATCAAACATCTCTGGAGAGACCTGAAAATAGCTGTGCAGCGACACTCCCCATCCAACCTGACAGAGCTTGAGAGGATCTGCAAAGAAGAATGGGAGAAACTCCCCAAATACAGGTGGGCCAAGCTTGTAGCGTCATACCCAAGAAGACTCAAGACTGTAATTGCTGCCAAAGGTGCTTCAACAAAGTACTGAGTAAAGGGTCTGAATACTTATGTAAATGTGATATTTCAGTTTTTTTATTTTTATAAATTTGCTAAATTTTCTAAAAACCTGTTTCTGGTTTGTCATTATGGGGCATTGTAGATTGTGTGACATAGATTTTGCGGTGACGTAGTGTCCCCATGAGTGACAGAACACTGAGCCAATCACGGTGCAACTAGAAAACATTACCAACCTGTACGCTCCGTATTACCGCTGGCTGCCCCACCCCCACAGAAAGCACTGAGCTAATAATATAATATAATAATATGCCATTTAGCAGACGCTTTTATCCAAAGCGACTTACAGTCATGTGTGCATACATTTTTACGTATGGGTGGTCCCGGGGATAAGAAGCTAGGCTGAAACACCTGCATTTTGGAGCTGCCTTACTCAAGAAAGCAAAAGAAAGACCATG